GTATCATTGAAAATGCAGGTGCTAGTCAGTGCCATAGCCTGCCTGCACTCCATATGCAAATCGCTCCGCACTGTAAAATATAATGCTGATATAGAATATGATTAGCCTTTAAAAAAACAAAACAAAAAAACAAGCCATAGACTGGAAACAAAGCAGTTTTAAGTTTACTTGTTTTTATTTTCTTTTATTCAAAACACCACAAGTGCAAACCTGTGAATAATTAAAAAGAAAAAAGAATGTATATTAAACATTATATGATTCATGTAGATATTTTTACTTTCAGATTTGCTAATCAGATTGATTACAGATTGATTTGACTGCATTTTCTTTGCAGGTTTGATATGACAAAGTTGTGTCCGATACGCCGCAAGTAGGCCGGTTTCTTCCTCTGTTGATTTTTATCTAAATAAAAATATTCTCCCATGAGCTCGCTGTTGTGTTCATGAATCAACCTTTTTGCTTTGCATTGATCAACGTAAAGGTTAACTAAAAGTCAATGAGGATAAGAGACAGAGATCAGAATTCAATCCAGCTGATATTCTTGGCGTCTCTGATGACTTGATTTATTTTGTATATGACTGTGGTTTAAGATTACGCTTGTGAACACCAGAAACTCTTAATTGAATTTTACCCAAATTGTGATTGAGTCAGGACTTGGGGAAATGTCAATTACAGGGTTGACCTTTTGTTAAACATCAGATCAAATCTAAATAATACACAATGCAGAAAGCTCTGAGATATTTATATATATATTTAATCTTTTCTCTACACAGACACGGACCATTGTCTTCCAGCCCCATATTGAAGTCTTCTAACAGTCATGCCGCTCGTCCAGTATTTAGTAAGTCCAGGTATTCCTTCAGCCGAGAGTCCCATGTGAAGCAGGCTGCTTTATGCTCCCTCCAGTTAAGAAGAATTAGTCTCTCAATAGATAAGCAACTCTGCAACTGTGTCCACAGGCGCTCCACAGTTACTCCAACACTATTGTACAACTTCAGGCCCAGCAAGCACTGACATAAGAGATATCACTTCTATCTGTATATCAATTAATTATGTCGTTTTACCTCTAATTTGTGAGAAAAACTTTTTCTGGCATGCCTCCATGGAAATGTGTTTGTATGCTCAGTATTTGCTACTAAAACATTACTATTTGAAACTGACCTGACAGGGAAACTTATCTATCCTCAAAGCCATACTAAGGGGTATTTTTTAGTGAAAATGCATGTGTTTGTGAAGTACTGAGCATACCACTGGATAGATGAGACTTGCATTATGCTGCATGGGCTGTGTGGGAGCTTATAAAGGGATATTTTCATATAGTTTTGCTGTTCTTAATCAAATCAATAAATCAATCTGTTTGCTGATTTCCCTGGAGGCACGCGAGAAAAACAAGGTTTTCCTCACAAATTCAAGATAACACAGCGTGACTAAGACTCAGTGCTGTGCAACTGGTCATTTTGTATCATAATTTTTGATAATACTTCATACTTCTTATGCACTGCATGTCTGAGTTTAAACATTTTACTGTACTCTGAGAGCTGTAGTTCATTTGGGGACAAAGATTTAACATATGAAACATGATCATGTTCTCCCCGTGGCAGCGTGGGTTCTCTCCGGGCACTCCGGCTTCCTCCCACAGTCCAAAGACATGCAGATTTGGGACTAGGTTAATTGGTAACTCTAAATTGTCCGTAGGTGTGAATGTGAGCGTGAATGGTTGTTTGTCTCTATGTGTCAGCCCTGCGATAGTCTGGCGACCTGTCCAGGGTGTACCCTGCCTCTCACCCGATGTCAGCTGGGATAGGCTTCAGCCCCCCGTGACCCTCAAGAGGATGAAGCGGTTAGAAGATGAATGAACATGATCATCTTCTAAAGTATGGTGCTTTTGAATGGATTGAACTGCCCCAAACTGGTGACAACATTAAGGTAACTAAAATCAAGTAATGTATAGTAAAATTGACTGATTTGATTTTGCAATAATTCTGCATGTTTTGACAGTTAAAGTACATTTAGCTGATATTTCTGTACTTAAACTACAGGAACATTTTGAACACGGATTATATTTGAATAGAGTGAGTTAAGGCTGATTTGGGTCAGAAGGTCAAATGGGACAGTATAAGTATACAAGGTTTATTTTCTCACCTGATGACTGAAAAAAACCTTCTTCGTGGTGAAACCACATAATCAATATTGCACACCTTATTGGTGTAACATCATGTAGGTGGGTGGGGCAAGATTCAAACAGGAAGTTGACCCTGCAATGCATGAGGCGAGGAAAATGACCTGAGCTTCACCTAGTTTTAATTGTAAGGTCATAAAATTGTCACAGCCAATATGCTGCAAAAAACCTTTGATGGAGACATGATTATGATGAAGACAGTGAGGAAATACAGCTTTGTATTGAATGAACTGCAGATGGACTTCAGCAATAAAGTTTGACAGAAATGCACAGGGAGTCTTATTTCATAATGATAAGAAAAATGTGCATGTGAAATAAGATCAAAGTACAGAGACAGGGGTTGGTTGTCACACTTTTTATTCTTGTATGAATTGCTCATCATCGAAATATATTTCAATAGTCATTCCTATGTTAAATGAAAGCTTGAGGTCTTGGCTTGAAATTGGTATCCCTTTCATATTTACAACTTATTGTGACAAGAAGTAATGAGTAATAGCTCAACATTTTGTGTTTGTTCCACAAAATTACAAGTGCAAAATGAGCAGGATGTCAGGCCAACTGTTTGATATCAACATAATGAAACAGCGCCCTCTAGTGTGGCTGTTATAAGCGCTGTGACAACCAACCCTGGTCTCCCCTAACCATGCTTGTACTAGCCTAAACCAGTGATTAGATGTCTTGTCCCAATCAACCAAATATTACAAAAAAAAAAAAAGTTTGGTCAGTTTACTTAAAAGAGCATGTCCCACCTTCTTGGAATATGATATAACTGTCCTCCTCAAACTGATAGATAACAAATTCAGTATTACAGAACAGTATCATTTGTTGGGCTTATGCGGGATTTATACTTCTGTCGTTTCCGTACCTACAGCGTAGGCTCTGCATCAACAAACCCTGACGTGCACCTCCCCAGAAATGTAACTGCACATTGCGGCAACGCAGATCTCCTGTCTGTTTTTGTACGCTGAAACCATTTCCCTCAGTGGAAATTAGACTTTTATTTACTTTTATCTCAGAAACAATAAACTATGAAGATAATAAAGCCCCCACAAAAATAGCATTTTAAGTCTTTTGTGTGATTCATCCTGGCTTCATATGAGCAGAGGAAATCTCCGCTCGTCACTAGGATAATTTCAGAATCAGAATCAGAATCAGAAAGAACTTTATTGTCCATTGCAGAGCAGTGGAAATTCGTCTTTGACGTGGCTCACAATAAAACACAAGTTAAAAATACATAAAAGACAAAAAAAGTACAGTATAAAAGTATAAAATACATACCAATACAGTATAGAGCAGCACATAAATCTAAGAACCCTGAGTCAAACCCTTAAGATTTATTGATAATGTTGATGGCGGTAGGAATGAATGATTTCTTTACTATGTTTGTTCTTGCTAATGGTATCTTGTAAGGGCAGCCAGATGGGAGGAGTTGAAATGAACTGTGGAGTGGATGTGAGGGGTCGTTTATGATGGTGTCGGCCTTCCGTTTAACTGCCTGTGTGTGAAGATCTGTCAATGAGGTCTGAGTGGCGCCCTTTTATTTTGGTAGCATGTTTGATGACTTTTCAGAGTTTGGATTTGTCTTTAACGGAAAGGAAGGTGTACCAGGATGAGATGTTATAGGTTAGGACTGACTTATACAATGTAAAATGCCATAGGCTCGTGCTACTAATGTTAGCATGTTACATTTGTTTGGAAAACGTGTTTAGTATAAGACACTTGTTTTGTCAGTGAACTTTGTGAGTTGTAATGAAGCAGAATTTTGTAACATTACCTTTGTTAAATGTTGCTGTTGTTCGTGGCTTCATGTGAGTGGAGGAAAAAGTCCTCTAGCCACTAGGCTAATATATACAATGTAAAATGCCACAGGCTTGTGCTAAAAACATTAGCATGTTGTATTTGTGGGGAAAATGTGTCCAGCAAAAGCAAAATGCTTTGTCTGTGAATGCTGCGAGTTATAGTGAAGCTGATTTGTGTACTTGTGTTTGAAATTGTTGCTATGAAGCCATGTTTAATATGTGTTTTGAATCAACTAAACTTTACAACACGTCTGTCCGTCCTGGAAGAGGGATCCCTCCTCAGTTGCTCTTCCTGAGGTTTCTACCTTTTTTTTTCCCCGTTAAAGGGTTTTTTTGGGGGGAGTTTTTCCTTATCCGCTGTGAGGGTCCAAAGGACAGAGGGATGTTGTATGCTGTAAAGCCCTGTGAGGCAAATTGTGATTTGTGATATTGGGCTTTATAAATAAAATTGATTGATTGATTGACTTCACAGGAACCGCTGATCTTGGAGGTGTACCTGCAGAGTGACACAGACACACCACCACACAGGTATATATGCCCCCTTTAATTCACTGTACTTTACATTTTGCTAATAGACCCCTATTTTGCAGTAGGCTATATATAGTCTACATACAAACATACTGTTGCAAACAGTGTTAACATGTAATATTTCTGAGTAATCCAGCAGAATCAGCCTTTCAGGTCCTGTTGATCTACATCCTGCTGATTAGTGATCTGATAATTTGAGCCAGGAGGCCAGGCATCATCTGTCTCAGTGCTACTTCATTAGAGGTGTGTGACCTCTAATGAAAACATGATTGCAATCAGGGAAAGCATTTTTAATGTGTGGACGTGTCGCATTCTCAAAGCACGAGCGGAACCGGGCGCGCGCACTCTCTAACCCCCCCCCTCCTCCCATTCCTCCCATGCAGCCACACACACCACCAGCACCAGCACCAGCCGCCATCCAGCTTCAGCTGCTGTAGGGGGGCCACATGCATTGAAGGGACCGGCGTGCACGCGCACCCTCTCAGCCTCTCTCGCGCTCCGTGCTCGAGCCGTTCCTCCGTGCGCGCCCCCGCTCAGAGACAGGCTTCAGGGAGCCCGGAGAGCAGACGAGCGGCAGCGGGGAGAGAGAAAGATGGAGGTGAGGGTCGGGGAGAGACTCCTGTGCCTGGCTGTGTTGTCCAGCGTCTTCTTCGTGGATTCAGTCCTCGGGAAATACGTCAAAGGCATCGTCAACACCAAAGAGGTGAGCGCTGCTTTTTTCTTCTTTGCCTCTTTAATTAGTTGCCACTTGCGTCAATGACACCGCCACAGTGGGAGTGGGGAAGGGACTCGACTGCGTCTCCGAACGCAGGTGCCTCTGTGGCGGACTGCTCCGCGGATAGTCGAGGAGGCTACCGGCCAATTCACCGCCAAGTTGCCTCGGGTATTTACGTGTGTGTTTACTGCCGCCAGATGAAACACACTCACCTCTGTGCTGCCTTGCAACTGCGCGCCATCTGCTTGCGTGTCATCTGTGGCGTAACGCTATATTTCACCCTCAATGTGATGGTCTTTGGCATCATCGTAGCCCCAGTAAGCGGCACCCCACCAGTGCACGGCGACCAATGGAGCCTCCAGTTGTGATTACTCATCCCGAAGCCAAACCCAGCTTTATATGCGTGGTTTTATTCCCTCTCTTAAATCTAAATGAGCAGCGGTGTTTGTGTTTATGATGAGAGGAGCCGTTACAGGTGTGCGTCATATGGCTGCTGGCGCGCACCGCTGGGTTGGTGGCAATCCTTGAGCCACTGGGTTCAGTCCAGCCTGGTCAGGGTCTGTCTTCAGACAGATCAGCATCGACATCATCGTTGCCCTTACAAGATCTGCGAGTTAAAATGTTAACTGAGCAGCCGAGCAGATACTGTAGCTCAGGGCTGTTTGTGATTCAGGAGGCTCCCACCTGCTGTTCCACATCTCTGGTTTGTATTCTCACGAGTTGGTGGATCAAGTTTGACATGAGTAGTACAGTAGAGCTGTCTTAAGGTCTGGATGTGAGTTCAGCAAGGCAGACCACTAGTAGCTTCTGTAACAAGACTGGCTGTGGAGCTTTAATTCAGATGATTCATGGTTGTTTGGAGCATTATGGTAATTGTGTTGGAATTTATGCAAGTCAAAATATTTATCTCTCTGATGCAACCGAGGACACGTTTGACCTTTTAGTCTGTGAGGTCAGCTGTGTCTTGTGACTCTAACCAGAGGCGAAGCAAGTTCATATTAAACAAACATAAGAAAGAATATGATATCAAAATAATTTCCCAGATATAAAGTGATATTTAAGAGCTGTGAATGCTCCCAGTTGAGAAGCTGGAACCAGCGGTGGCTACTTGATCGAAGTTATTGATTAGTCAACAAATTGTTTAATCTCAAACATGAGCACCCTCAGCCGCTGATATCTCCAGTGGACCATCAGCAGGGGAGCGACTATCTTGTTGCACTGTTGCAAAGTGCTGTTTTAAAAAAGGAGCATGTGTTCATCTCTGCATTCTAACACATTATAAATATTGTGCCCCAACCACTCGGGTGCTTCATGTACCACAGGTTTTCATGTGTAGCCAAACAGTGCATTAAAATACTTAACACCAGTATATCACCTTACTCGTATATCACCTTACCTGGCTCCCCCCAAAATACTGAAGAATGTAATCTACGAGACAGCAGGCGGTTTGAGCTTTAATTCTCACTCCAGCAGGCTGACTTGTTTTGCTCACATTCCCTGAACTCTGACTTTAAAGTGCGCCATGAACTGAGAGATTGAAGTCACCGATTTGAATCCCTGCGATGACGACAGGAAATCTGAATGGATAAATTGAACAAGGAGCACTCATCCATCCATCACTCGTCGAGATGCCCTTGAACGCAGCGCTGAATCTGCACCTGCTCCAGTGGAGCTGCTCAGTGGCCGGCAGTAGGTTGCACTGGGCAAATTCCAAACGTGTGTGTGTGTGTGTGTGTGTGTGTGTGTGTGTTTGTGTGAGAGGGACACCTCAGCTCTTGACAAGGAGGGCACCTACTTTTATAGTCCTCTGCGGTAAATAGGGATATACTTTTAGTCAGCCTGTTTTCTTACGTAAGGCCATGAATAAAGAGATTTCACATAAATAAGTTCTACACCTGAAAAGCATTGTAGGGTGCCACCTATTTTTTTGAATATCAGTTGATCTGATTACTTTCTTAAGCAAGGGAGCCAGTCCACGACGCCAGGAATGCCCCGCCCCTGCCTGCTGCCGGGCACGCTATGCAACAGACTCTGATTTCTGTCCCTGCAGGTCGTGGGCCCACTTGAACTCTCTCAAGCAAGGGAGGTCAAGTATCTCGGGGTCTTGTTCACGAGTGAGGGTAGCATGGAGTGTGAGATGGATCAGTGGTTTGGTGCAGTTTCTGCAGTGATGCGGGTGCTGCGCTGGACCGTTGTTGTGAAGAGGGAGCTTAGCTGGAAGCCGAAGCTTTCGATTTACTGGTCCATTTAGTCCCAACCCTCACTTATGGTCATGAGCTCTGGGTAGTGACGAAATGAGTTTCCTCTGTGGGGTGTCTGGGCTCAGCCTTAGAGGGTGAGGAGCTCGGACATCCTGAGGGAGCTCGGGAGTAGAGCCACTGCTCCTTAGCATCGAAAGGGGTCAGTTGAGGTGGTTCGGGCATCTGATCAGGATGCCTCCTGGGCACTTCCCACTGGAGGTGTTTTGGTCATGTCCTGCTGGTGGCCTGGAGTAGAACCAGAATGCGCTGGAGGGATTACATATCTCATCTGGCCTGGGAATGCCTTGGGGTCCCCCAGGAGGAGCTGGAAACTGTTGCTGGGGAGAAGGACGTTGGGGGTGTTTTGCTTGGCCTGCTGACCCTGCAACCAGGTCCCGGATAAGCAGATGAAAATGGATGGATGATTACTTTCTCAATCAATCCTTCGGTCTACGAAATGTCAGAAAATAGAAAAATGTCCATCGCAGTTTCCCAGAGTTGAAAGTGAACAGCTCTGTTTTGTCCAATTAACACTCAAAAATCCCAAGATATTTAGTTTACTATCATAAAAGGTGCAAACAAACAACAAAAGACAGCAAAAATCTCAGTGTGAGAGGCTGGCGCCAATGGACTTTTAGCATGTTATCTTAGAAAGCAAAAGAGTTGCAGATGGATTCATCGATTAAACAAGTAAGCAAGTAATTGTTTTATCTTTGCTTGCATTGTTAGACAAATGAGAAGAGTAAAAAATAACCTTTAAAGATGTAGACATGTACTTTATTGCTTTTCAGAGTCTTTCTTGAACCTTGTTGTTGGTTTTTCCGTCTTACTCTTGTGCCTCTAAACCCGTCAGGGATCATTTGACAACGCAAGCAAAACAACAGCGCGCTCTGAATGACATCAGGCAACACCTGCCTTGACATATTGATACTGTGTGTGTGCGTGTGTACACTTTAACACATCATCAGTCTTGCTCGTGCGTTTCTGCCCCAAGGTCACCCACTATATCCCCTCCACATCCCCTCTCTCTCTCAGATTTATATACACACACAGACACACATTCACAGAACAAACTCCAGCACTTGCACACAAAAACACTCAGCCTCAATCCCATGATGCTGTGGTTGTGTCAATGTCTGCAGAGCTGAAGGCAGAGTTTGTGCAGAGCTGCAAATTGACAAATGTAATTTACCACACTGGGAGGGATGAACTGTTGGAAACTGTGGAGTGGCTGGAGAATTTCAGAGAATCACAAGCAAAGTTATCCAAAGGCATCGGTGCGGCAGACTGGTCAACAGCTTTATTCGGGCTGGTCGATGTGTACAATTAACTTCAGTGGCTCATGACGTGTGGAGGTCCCGATAAAATGTCCCTTTGAGAGGCAGCAGTGGCTTTGAGGTCAGAGGAAGGTCAGTGTTTTGAATCCAGCTGGGACAATCTGGGAAAGAAATAAAATCCTTGAACTCTTTCAGCAGCCTGTTTCCCCCCTGTGTCCACAGGGATGTTGAACTTCTACAAAAGCACACTTCTAGTCAGACTGTCGGGTTGGGGTGATGTGTTGTTCAGTTACTTTTTGACAGCTGACACTTGCTGTTACAAGTGTCAGACCTCAGTTTCCAATAAAGCTGAATGATTTGGAGAAAACATGTAATTGCGATTTTTTTTTTTTTCGACCAATATTGTGATTGTAAGTTCAATGGTGATTCTTTTCTATAAATTAAACTAAAGGCCTGGACTTGTGGTCTACATTGCGTTATGCTGCATTCACATGATCCTGGGTTGGTCCCATTTATTAAGTGGGGAAGTCGTTTTTCGGAAATTGTTTTGTTCACGAGCTTTTAGTTGTAATGTGCAAACAATATGGGCGCTACAAAGAAGATGTGATGCTTTATATTATAGTGATTTTGTCCCAGACTTGTTGCTGTATCAAATCGATGGATCGTATAGCACTTTCTACACTATGAGTCACATTCACCCATTCATTGGTGGGTGAATTCACCCACTGAATCTGGAGCAATTTGGGGTTCAGTATCTTGCTCAAGGATGCTTGTGGACTGGAGGAGCCGGGGATCGAACATCCAGCCCTACCTCCTCAGCCACAGCTGCTTAGTTCATTCCCTGAAACTACTGAAATATTGCTTGACCTGACTAACGCTAATAAATAACTTTTCTAACTCGTATATGTCACTCTAGTTGGACAGCAGCTAACGGTTACAACTTACAATACCATATTACAAATTTGAGCAAATAAATGACATGCAAATTTATTACCATCAACCAAACAATTACTTTCATCTACCATGATTTTACATATTAGATATGTCCAACTTTCTGAGTTGTTGTTCTGACCTTAGAGACAATAAGAATTGTCACCCCCTAATATCTGCATGGGGAGCAGGTCTTTGTCCACAGAGATTGCCATGTTGCACTGGCATGTTTCTACAGTAGCCCAGAACAGACAAACCAAACACTGGCTCTAGATTGGGTTTGCATCGGCCAGTAGCAGAAACAGTCTGGCATTACTTTAAAGTGTTTTATGTGACATATTCATCATCATCATCATCATCATCATCATCATCATCATCATCCAACTAAACAGCAAAGAATTGTTTTAAGATTACAGAGTATTGTTTACATCCTATGCCATCGACATTTTACTTTCTAAGAGACATTTTTCGGTACGGTTTCATCTCATATGATATGAAGCAGCCTACTTCATTCATGGTTCTGATGATGACCATGAATGCG